TATATATATAGTATAGTATTATAGTATATATAATTTTCAGGACAGTCCACTTTCATCTCTGATAATTTCTGTGAACAAAATAGATGTACATTGTCCCGCATGTCTCGGAACCCATCATTTACAGAACAGTCACGGAAATATGTACGTTAATTCCAGTATAAATAATGCAAATACAGTGATCCCTCGCTGTATCGCCGGTTCGTTTAGCACGGCTTCAGTGCATCACGTTTTTTTTTTCTTTCCCCCAAAGTACTGTATCCGAAGAAATTGCCGAATGACTCAGAGGTTGTGTGCATGGCTGTAACTTGATTGGTTCCCAGCGCCGATGTCCATCAATGACAGCAAGTGGATCTATCCCACGTGGAGGGGAGGGGGGTGGGCAGAGAAGATGCACAGCCAATCAACATGGCTTTGCATCTTCTCAGCCCCGCCCAGCACCCCTCCCTTCTGTCTTATCACGTGGGTTACTCTTTAATCTTTGATCAGTGTCAAAGTGTTTACTATGCGTGCTATCGTGTGCGTGTGCACCGCACGCACCTGTGTGTGTGTGTGTGTGTGTGTGTGTGTGTGTGTGTGTGTGTGTGTGTTTGTTTTAGTGCGCTCTGCTCACGCGCGAACCTCCACGTGGGGCACGTGTGTGCGTGCAGGTGTGTATGTGTGTCTGTTTGTGCCTGAGAGAGAGAGAGAGAGAGAGAGAGAGAGAGAGAGAGAGAGAGAGAGAGAGAGAGAGAGAGGGCTTATAAGAAAAAAGTAGTGTCTTCCATCCTTAATTGTCTAATCATCGGCTGCACGCCGTGGGATCGCTGGCCTGTTCACATAAAGCACATTTGAAATGTCGTTCCTCTCTCATTTTTTGGCTTTTTTTTATTTTTATTTTTTATAAATCCTACTTCACGGATTTCACTTCTCACGGGTTCTTTTTGGAACGTAACCCCCGCGATAAACGAGGGATTACTGTATTGTCTCTGTGCTTGCCCTTGACTTTATAAGACGGGACCAACACTGATATCAGAATATTTTGTCTTCAAAAAACCAAGGTCAAATTTCATGTGGCTTGAAGCCAAAGAATCATGAATGTCCATTTTTGAATTCTTGGACTGTAAATGTTTCCTTACATTTGCTATAGTCAGTTTGTGACAGTCGCGTGAACATCTCAATGGTTCAAGAGAGAGTAAATTTAAAATGACAGGAAATTTAAGTCCCTAAATGAAAGGAAACTTCAAATAGCTGTGCAGCAAAAGGATATGGAACTGCAACTTTTGTATCCGAAGTGCTGCTGTGAAGGAAACTATTGTTCTGAATGGAGATTTTTTTTTTTATAGGTATTTATCATTGGATTGTTATTTTTGGTTTTATGTACAACTATAGTGGTGTGTAAGTGCTGTACAGTATATTCCTGCACTGAAAAGTTGAGTTGCCTAAGATACGTGTTTTTTTTTTTTTCAGGTTAATATGACACAGTCTTCTGTTATTTCAAAAATGAGGTTAAAATACTGACAGTGAGTGTCCTAAGTTTATGGTGGTGAACAAAATGAACACCGCAAAAAAAAAGAAAAATGACTTCAGAAAGTCCTTGAAAAAGATTTTCAATCTGAGGTAACAAATGTTTTTTTTTTTTTTAGTGGTGTTTGAATTAGGGATGTAACAATATCGGCGATATTGCTGGCATTTTACAATATTAAAAGAAGCACCCCCCCCCCCCGCCAAAAAAAAAAACTTTTTGCCCCCTTCAACGGAACATAGCATTCTGATCTACATAGAGGAGATCGTGATACTTTGCGCTGCTGAGTCAATAAGAACACACAACGAGAACATGACAAAAAAAAAGACTTGCCCAGATGATTTTTGTCTCTGATGTTATGTACAAAAACACAATATTGTGCAGCAATATCATCTATCCATCCATCCATTTTCCGATCCGCTTTATCCTCACAAGGGTCGCGGGGGGTGCTGGAGCCTATCTCAGCCGTCTTCGGGCAGTAGGTGGGGGACACCCTGAACCGGTTACCAGCCAATCGCGCGGCACACACAGACGAACAACAGACAAACACACTCACACCTAGGGACAATCCAGAGTGTTCCATTAATTGCCACGCATGTTTTTGGAATGTGGGAGGAAACCTGAGTACCCAGAGAAAACCCACGTAACATGCAAACTCCACACAGGAAAGCCGAAGCCGGGATCAAACCCACGACCTCTGCACTGTGAGGTCCACGCACTAACCACTGGTACACCGGGCCGCACCGGCAATATATTTTTTTTAAACACAATATTGTAAGCTTTTACACAATATGGTAAGCTTTTACACAATATGGTGAGCTTCTTTGTATCGGCAACCTCCCTCCAGTTTCATGAGGTTACATTGTGATAACATCATATCGTGACGTTTGGCTATTGTACAGCCCTAATTTGAATAACACGTCCCCCCCCCCCCCATTACACTAATTTAAGTCTATCAGGGAAGGTAAAATGTACACACCACCAAAAATAGCAAACCACATATGTAGGCATGAAAGGAATAAGGGGGCACTTGGAAAACTCCATCCACTGTGGGGTGTCATGGACCCAAAAAGTTTGAGAACCTGTTTTTAAATGATCTCTTTAATGGCAAATCAGCAAAAAAAAAAAAAAACATTTTAAAAAAACAATGAAAACTTCAAAGCCTGTAATTAGCCACGTAAAATGATTTGCTGCTAATTAAATGTGAACCAAACCTAAAATTACATTTTCAGTAATATAGCCGCGGGATAGGTTAAAAAAAAAAAAGTAAATCAATTTTAAGAACACGCTGCAAACGTATGATGAGTTTCTATTTTGTCCTTGAACATGAATTTTAGTCCTGTTGTACAATTGCATTTTGACACCAACAAGCCAGAAGGAACTTTCTGTACTTTTCCAAAAAGGAAGTTTATTGTTTCCCTCAGGAGAATGCAATCAGCAGTTGTGAACTTTACTGTGCCATTGCACAAATCAAAGTTCAAAAGACAGGATATGGCTTGAATAAGTTTGATGTAGGGAGGGTGTGACTGAACAATGCCCTGATCTTAGCCCTATCAGTCCGAATAAATTGGGATGAACTCAAACAAAGTAGGACCTTGCCCCCTCGTATTGACAGCTTTAAGAGACTCTTAACATCACAATTTTTCTTTTGTATTAATTGACGCCCCCCCAAAAAACCTCTTAGACATTCTCAAAATGTAGGCGGCAAACCCAGGAATATTTTGTCGGTTATCTGCCCGGATTGTACAGTAGAAAGTACAAGCCAATAGCAAAAAGGCCTCAATGGTAGACACCTTATAAGTCACTCTTGGTATTCTTTAATGCAGTGGTCCCCGACCCCCGGACCGGTACCGGTCCGTGTGTCATTCAGATTTTATAATTTGCATTTATATACTTTTTGCTCTTCTACTTCTCCTTTTCATAATTTTGCTGATGTAAATTGGGAATTTCTCCATTGTGAGACAAATAAAGATTTTCTTGTCTTATTCTGATGTTATTTGGGACTGAGCCGCACAGAAAGAATAACTTACAATACTTCCGTTGCATTCATTTCAGAATCTGAAAGATGTTTTATTTTTAAAAATTACCGGATTCTCTCGACAGCATGTCACGCTTGACGCAGGTCAAGGTGTGCTTCTCAGTTACCGCTAAAATGAAACCCATGAGTTAGCAAAATGAGTAAAAAAAAAAAAAAAAGTATTTGGGAAGGGAAAAAGGCCCAGCCAGGACACTGAAGAGGAGCCTCCGGCTCCCAAGAAAAAGAAGGCTACATTTAATAGACAGTATCAGGAGTCCCACTTAAAATACGTATTTAGCTCAACGGGAGATTCCCGCTCTGCATGATATGTGGCAATGGTGAGTCGTGTTTTTTATGCACTTTGTATTTGCGGTGTATCTTATTTTGAAGGCGCGTTTTAAACATTATAGCAACCAGAGAGCGTTGCGGTCAGATAGGACGTTCCTCGTGTCATGATTCATATTTATTATTATTGTTTCAAAAATACGGCAGTTTTCATGCAGGTCATATCATATTATTTTGTTGTATTTATCCGCCACACTTTAAAGGTGAAAATATTGTCTGACATTAAACCGGTCCGCGGGGCAAAAACAGTTGGGGACTTCTGCTTTAATTGGTTGCCATATTCATCACATGGATTTATATTTTTCAAAAATGGTCAAACTATCTTTTGCATCTTGACTTCTAAAGAATCACCTTTGTTTCCGACTCCTCCACTGATACCTGCAAAGCCCCCGTTCGTCAACATGACAGTACAGGTCTCTATAAAAGCGCCGTTGTGCAGGGCCGTCCAAACCGAAAATTTCCAGAAGCATCCACAGCTACCAAAGTGCCAACTCTCATTACTCCTGGATGTAAATGATGATGATGCACAGAGTTCCCACGAGTCCAAGAGCCTGAATGCCAAGGAACCACAGCAGTAGCCAGAAGAAAACGACCACCACTGGCTCGACTATCTTGTCCCCAAAGTACATCTGGCTGAAACCCATCCCTCGCAGACACTTATTGAACATCCCAAACAGTGTCCCCATGCGCACGCAGTCATCCAGCGGAGGCTCCCTGGTGCTGGGATTGTCCTCAAGTCGCCACCTCATGCCCTGATTACTCAGAGGTAGTGGTTGGATCCTGCTCCCCTCAACCTGGACACGATGATAAGACAAAAGCATTAGCACTGAATGACAGTACTCGGGCGAACTTTACTCTGAGTCACTGAAATGATTTGGTTCCCCTTGAGTGAAGTAATCCCCGCTCACCGATGGATGGCTGAAATTCACCAACCTGGTATTTTTATTTATAGGGTTCAACATGGATTGCGACCACTACATGTTATGTCAGGTGACCGTATGTTTACTGACGCTGGCTCAATTGGAACCAGTACCAATTCAACAAATGAATATGATGAAATCAACACATTCTTGCCTTTCCGATCTTTAATATTCAATATTTTGCGTTTTATCCACGTAAATTGATCAGTCATCATTGATCTTTTTACCGTGCAGCACAATTTTTTTGTGGGTCAGGTTAAATCTGATAAATGGCTTAAATGAGAAAAACTGCTCAGAAAATGACAGACGTTAAATAATCAGTTACATTTTATACTGTGGGGGACACGGTGTCGTCTGGTTAGTGCGTTCGCCTCACAGTGCAGAGGTGCAGGGTTCGATTCCAGGATCCAGCCTGTCGGTGTGGAGTTTGCATGTTCTCCCCCGTGCCCGTGTGGGTTTTCTGCAGGTACACAGGTTTCCTCCCGCATTCAAAAAACATGCATTGGACACGAAATCAGGCATGTCCAGTTCCGGGCCTGGAGGGCCAATGTCCTGCCTTTTTTCCAGCTTTCCCAGCTGCAACACACCTGATTCAAATTATCATCTCATCAGCCAGCTCTGAAGCAGCATTAGAACGATCCTGATTATTTGAATCAGGAGTGTTGATCCTGGGAGAGTTGGAAAAAGGCAGGATAGTGGCCCTTGAGGACCGAGTTTGGACACCCCTGCTCTAAATTGTCCCTTGGTGTGACTGTGAGCGTGGGCGGTTGTTTGTCTATGTGTGACCTGCAATTGGCTGGCAACCAGTTCAGGGTGAACCCCACCTACGGCCCGAAGACAGATGGTATAGGCTCCAGCACATCCGTGACTCTCATGAGGATTAGTGGTTCAGATAATAGATTTTATAAAAAAAAAAAAAACTACACCAAAGTTATATTTTCCCAAGGGCTAAAATAAAACAGAATATGAAATAATTAAAACTTATTGTATTCTAACACGAGTATCCAGACTCCACAACAAATTTGCACTCCTCATGTCTGCACCAATGACAATCCCCTTGAAATACACCTCACCGTGCATACATCCTCTCTGCACCTCCTGTCCCACGGCACCAACCTCCCCCTCCAGCGCCAACCAAATCTCCAGACCATGGGAGATCGGGCCTGTCTCTCCACGGCTCTCCGCATCCGGAATGACCTACCGAGCATCTAAGATATCCTCAGCCTCTGTACTCCCCTAAAAAGGGCCTGAAGACTCACGCAGGCCTTTCCAAACTGGTTTTAATCTCGTTTTATTCTTTCTGATCTTAGTGCTTTCATGTTTTTTTATTGACCTTCTGTCCTTTATCATGCTTTGTAGCACATAGAGGTTTTGACAACAAGTGCTTTATAAATAAAATGCATTATTATGTATATACAGGGACAGTGTTGGTTCGGGCAGGGCCACGACAGACAACATGCCTCTCGGTCACCCGAAAGGACCACGACCCAAAAAGGCTGAAAGTTAGATCCCGATTTTCATAAATTTCAAAATGTGCGTTTAAAATATATATATCCTTTTTAAATGTTCCCAGCTGTCCTCAGGCAGTCAGTGGAGTACACCCTTAACTGGTTGCCAGTTTTATCGACGACAGGTAGAAAAGTGAATGACGTTTTGGACCGACACTATCAGCACATTAAATGTTGTAAATGTACACAGTAAACTGACTGTCAAGATTAAAAATAAAATACAGGAATGGCCACCGAAACGGGTAATATAACCAACACAAACCAGCTGCGGGACGTCGGAAATACATTTCAAAGTGTTCGGTCCAACTCGAAGCCCTGCCGTATGGTTGAAAAAAAAATAAGCGTTATGCGCTACAAAGTTCGCCTGTCGCTTCGTAAACAGCGAAAGCTAGCTTCTTAGCAGGAGGTTTTTACCCGGTTCGGCTGCGGCTGTGCTGCCGTCTGCCTTGCGCCATTGACAGCTTGAGGGAGAGAATGCCAGCCTCTTTGGTTTTCGACCGACGACTCTGTGAGGTCACGCCGCTGAACCAAATCTTGCTCGTGTCGATGCGGCGTCGGAGCGGACATGGTCCCGGTCCCAGACGGGAATTTTCAGAAAACATTCGTCTTGCGTGATAACTCAGTTTCGAGCAGGGACAGCTCTGCAAGGCTTACCATGTCGTGATGTGTCGTTCGCGAACGAACCGGCTCTTAGAGCCGGCTCCTAACAGGGAGCCGCTTCTAATCGGAGCCGACTTTTTTTTTTCTCCTGTTTCTTCCTCCCTTTCGGTTAAAGCCGCACGTGATTGGTCAAGATCCGTGGTAGAAGAGGGAGGGGAGCGTTACACGCGCTGCAGTGAAAAGAAGGGGGAGGAGTTAGAGACACACACAGCAGCACATGTGAGCAGCACACGAACAGGAGAGACAGGGAGACGAGAGAGCTAGATAGCGTTACAGAGAAAAAAAAACACGGTGGAAAGTAGAAAGGTGAGAAAAAGGATAGGAAACGCAGTGAAATTTGGACTCATTTCAACTTAATTGACAGTTCAAAGGCAGCATGTAGACTGTGCAAGGTTAAAATATCCAATATCAAATTTTAATTGATAATTTGTGTGGTAATCAAAGCTTACTTATGTTGTTTTACTGTAAATAGTTAAAAGCTAATAAATATACACAATCAGAGATTGGAACTTTTTGTTGACCTTGTTTTGAGATGGGTCTTTATTTTTGTACTTGGTAATTTATTTTTTGTAGCACTCCATGTTGTACTCACGTTAAGTATGTTCAGAATAATATAAATAAAGCCATATAAATAATACATATTTGATATACTTTGAATTACTATACATTAGTAATTCGTTTTACACATAATTTTACGTCATTTTTGGTAGTAGATTAATTTAAGCAACGAAAAAACTGACGAGCCATTTGAGAGCTGAAAGAGCCGGCTCTTTTTCGTGAGGCGAGCCAAAAGAACCGGCTCTCTCAAAAGAGCCGGGATTCTCATCATGAGTACCGTGGCTGAGAAACTCCCACGCGACTCCTCGGACGTTCTCGGTATGAACGTGTCAACAAGCGCCCCTTACAGGTCATAATAGTAACTGCAGCTCCAATTCCTCAAAAACAACACTTACCTCTTCTTACCTGTTTATCGAGCAGCCAACACGCAAAATATAACCGCTCTATCTGTACAAACACACGCGCGCACACACGTACACACAGACACACGCACACATGCGCACGCACGTACACACACACACACACACACACCGAATTGGTTGCCAGCCATTCCATTTATTTCAATAATTTGTTTCAAAAAGTTAAACTTGTATGTTATATTGTTCATGACAGACAAGGTGAAATCAAGCCTTAATTTGTTTGTTTTCTTGATTATGGCATAATTATAATGTAATATATA